GTTTCTATAAATCATTCTTATTTGTATCATTTTAGTTCTGCAGCCACCATTATATTTAATATAGTATCTATTTCCTTATGACAATTAATAATGATTTGATTTCTTAAATAGCATTTCCAGTTTGTTACGCTATTGATGACATGTCATTCTTTGTAACTGATTCATCACTTTTTAAAATCTGTCCTATGAGCAGCTGATGCAATAATAGATCTTTAAAGATACTTCGAAGATAAATGTTTTTTAGGTGTTAACAATGTTTTAAACGACATTTAAAGAGCTATATGCTACTTCATGCCACTTTCTTTATGCCACTTTTAGTGTGTATTTGTAACATACACTCACATAAACACAGACACTAGGGAAAACTGAGATGCTACTTTGTTTCATCTCACAGATGGGGCTTTATTAAAGCAGTATAGTCATAAATCTACTTCCCTCATTATAAGAGGAATTTTTCATTAAGAACTGGCCAAATGAGGCTGGGCGTGGTGGCTCATGCCTGTAATCCTAGCACTCAGGGAGGCCAGTGTGGGAGGATTGCTTGAGGCCAGCAGTTCAAGACCATCCTGAGCAAGAGTGAGACCCCATTTCTACTAAGACTAGAAACAAATTAGCCGGGTGTGGTGGGGTGCACCTGTAGTCCCAGCTACTCAGGAGGCTGAGGCATGAGAATTGCTCAAGCCCAGGAGTTTGAGGTTTCCTTGAGCTGTGATGATGCCACTGCACTCTTGCCTGGGTGATCCAGCAAGACTGTCTCCAAAAAAAAAAACTGGCCACATGATAAGAGTTTATTCTGTCTGATGGCTTAAATAGTTTAAGGAACCTGCTATATTGTGGAATGTTAGGTAATTTAAAGTAGAAGATTTTTGAATCCTAAAATTATGTAACAAAATTTAATAAAGTGATATCTCCTCATCCTAGGCCCTAAAGTTGTCTTACTACCTATTGATTTCCATTTTCTTTTTCAAAGCATAAAATATGAACATGGCTTGTAATATGAGCAGTTACTACTTTCCTAGTTCCATTTAAAATACAAAGCCTTAAAATGTGATTTTGTCAGAAAAGTAATATTTGAAACCTTGTACTGAATGTATTATAAAAGTAACATATGCTTTTAAACATATAGAAACATAAAAAATGAAAGTCTTCTATTCTCTCATCTTACTTCCTAGCTAATAGAATTTAGACTTTTTAGAATTCAGATTTTAAATTGAAAAGTTCTTGGCCAATCAAAAATGTTTCAGCTTTTTAAATCTTATATAATTTTAAAAACAAAAATTAATCATGCCTCCTTTATTATTGCTATCACTTTAGCCTATTTTATTTCCTACATCACAGGCTAACAAATACAAGATTCTAACTTATAAATTCTCTTGAAAACCAAGCCCAAAATAGGAAGGAAAGAAAGAAGGTGGGAGGAAGCCCGTGGCAGTGTATGATTTACCCACTTAAAGTGTACAATTCAGTGGTTTTCAGTATATATAGAGAGAGTTGGGTGTCTTATGCATATTTGAGACATTCTGATTTCTTAGGTCTTGAAATTTCAGTGTTTATTTTTAAAAACTTTCTTATAGGGAATTTCAGATATATACAAAAGTGGACGGAAGGGGGTAATGAACCCCCAGAGTTTATTCTCCTTCTTCCATCTTTTTCCTCACTTACTCCCCCAGGTTATTTTAAAGCAAACTTTCTTATAGGGAATTTCAGATATATACAAAAGTGGACGGAAGAGGGTAATGAACCCCCAGAGTTTATTCTCCTTCTTCCATCTTTTTCCTCACTTACTCCCCCAGGTTATTTTAAAGCAAATTCCAGACATCATATTATTTCTTCCATAGATATTTCAGTCTGTGTCTATATAAGATGATTTTTTAAAAAAATGACCACAATAATGTTCATGTCACAAAATTTAATAATTATTTAATATTAAATAACCACTGTTCACATTTCTAATAAATGTAAAAATGTTTAGTTTTGTTTTATAACTTACAAAAGATAATTTTTAGTAACTTATAAGAGAAAAGTTTGAAGTCATGCTAAATATTTATACATATATTTTAATATCTGCTTCAAATAAATTTGTGCCACTGAAGTATAATCCCACAGATTTCAAAATATATTTTACTTCCTACTTCCTGGACCAGAAAGTTCTCTCCCTCTCTTTTGGCAAAGTGAGTCTGTCTCTTCCTGGCTTACCTCAGGAGGGGGGAGTCTTCTCTTACCTTTTCATGAGTATCTGATTGGTTTGAGATTTCCTGGTCTTACTCTTCTTTACTTATAGCATGTAGGGAACCTGAACATTCTGTACTGAGGAAACAGAACAGAGGGTTGGCTGTTGCAGAAGTCCATCTTGCCTTCATGATGATGGTGCTCTTATGATATATGAAATGCATTTATTTGGAGGTGGGATGGGATGGGCAGGGGTGGGGAAATTGTTAATGAAGTTAATTTCCACTTAAGGTGCTAATATGTTAAAAAGAATGGCCTTGGAAGCCAATTTGTAACTTTGGATGAAGTGACTTGCTTTTGGGAGCACCATTAGACAAAGGAAAGGGACTTCTGTTGGCTGAATAACCCATTAACTGTATCTCCCTAAGAAGATACAGTTAAAGTAATAACAGCATAGGAATAACCATAGTCATTTAGAATTTTGTACAGGTCAAATCCCGTTATAACACTTCAGAAGGATATCTAAATTCCTTATTTGTCTTATCTTTTACTACAAAGTATTAACACATTGACTGCCGCACAAAAAAAACCAGAAACTTTTCCCTGGGGCCACAGTGTTTTATTATGAAAACAGAATGAAAACTTTGATTGTAATTTTAAGGTAAACGTAAATAGAAAAACAAAATTTATTGACTTCTATTCATTTAATCCACATTTTTAGAACTAAATTGTCAATTGTAACAATAAGAACATCAACAGGTAAGGTTTTATATATGCTTCATGTGGCCCCAGGGTCAAAACTAGAGTGAGTTAATACAACTCTCATGGCAGTTAATGTGTTAATATCTATTACATCAGATTGTAGAACTTTTTTTGTTCTTAACTTTCCTTGGGGATAAGCACAAGGACTTTTTAAGGGACATTTCAAATCCGATGTTCTGATTAACTCTGCAGCCAGCTTTCCCATTACTGAGACCACAGATGTGAATTTGCTGTGGCCGGTAGGCTCCACTGCACCAGGCTGCTCCCTGGGCTGGTTTGCCTTGTGCTCCACAGTGTGGAAATGTTCATTTATTTATGCGGTCCAAAGAAAGAGTGTAGTAAGCATCAGGATTTCCTTGTGCTCTGAGGGAAGACTAATCATAAATAAAAGTGGGAGTTCCTAGTCATTAGGAACTTACCGACTACTTGAGAGAGGGGATCAAGCACAAATCTGAGATAATGACGCAGTCATGAGAGTATTTAGAGTTAAGGATGGAATGAGGCTTTCCTGTTACCTTGGTACTCCTCCCTGGAGTTTATCATGTCATATGTCAGATCACCAGCAAAGATCTGAAGGTATTACAGTATTTTGATTTTTATAGCTTTCTTGTAACGGGATTTAACCTGTAACATCTTTTCATCAGAGAAATGCAGATTACACAAATGAAAATATCATATATCCCCGTTTTTACTTTCTGTACTTTGTACCCAAATGTACTTAACTGTATGTTAAAGATATTATTGAGTATGTATCAGTGCAGGCATTAAGAGCCTTTTGCAGATAGCTCGTGAACATGGATATTTATTTTGTTTACTTTTATATCAAGTAGATAGAACGTTCTGTTTATACAAAACATGCATTAAAATGTCTGTGGAATATTATTTCAGTGTATGATGGATGAGAGTGGTTGCTTTAAATCACTAGGTTTTTTTAATGGTGCTAGAGTAGCTGGTGTTGCTTAACATGGCATTTTTTTTTCCTGTCCACACTTTTCACCCTTGGTACAGGTATTTTTGATAAAGCTGTGGAATGGAAAGGTATGTTTTTCATGGGATGTTCAAGAATCTGTTACCTTAAATTTTTTTAAGAGGTTTCCTTTATGGGATTCCTTTTGTGTCTGGCTTAAGCAGACTTAGTTTAATTGTAACAAATAATGTATTTTTAGAGGCAGCGTTTGAGTATAAAATTTTGACATGACACAAGTTTCTGACTTTACTTTTCCTCATTCCCTTATTAAAGATAGTATGAAGGTTTTTAAAGCACTTGGGGTGGGGGGGGTTGCTTTTAAAATGTATGATCTGTGCCATGAAGAAAGAATGTAGCCTAAGAGTTGCTTATGGTAGTTAATCTAGTATGTTGTTATTGCTAGAATCCTTGATACCAATAATTTGCAATTTCATTGAGGAAAGTGATGTAAAAGTATTCCTTAATATATAAAATAATTTTAGAGACTTTATTAAATTCACACAATCCTCCTTTTGGTGGAGGAACAATTCAGATTGAGCTGGTGACCAGCTGAACTAGAAGGATTAGTGTGAAAGTGGAAAGCTGGCCTGGCATGTCTGCACAGATTCTGTGCCAGGTTTCCTGCCCACACAGACCTTTCTTCTCCGTCCAAGTTCTGTGCTGACCATGGCTGTCCACAGCTGTGTTTACGCTCCCTGTTCTAGCAGGTTGACTTGAAAGAACCACATAGCTAAAGTGGTGAGAGACTCAGCCTGACTGCTTGTTTGTAGAAAGCCTGATTGGAAGAGTGCGCTCTCTTGACTTTCCTCTGACAATGAAATTGTGAAAGATACATAGGGTACGCCTGTGAGACATGCAGCTCTTGGGTCTCAGCGGCACATCCCTTCTCTTACAAAGCAATGAAGCACTTTCTAAGGCGTTGGTACTAGTGCTGGAGGCTGCTGGTGCATTTAGACTGCTGCCGATCACATCGGTGGGCTGAGAAACCCTCCTTAAAGATCTGTGATGTTTTGTAAAGCCTGACTATTCTGGTGGTTGCAGAGTTAGTGTCTGCTCAGCGTTCCCCATCTCACCGGAAGTGTTTGCTTTTTCTCATTCATAGAGGTCCTGTAATAAAGAGGGATCCGAACAAGCTCAGAAAGAAAACGAATTTCAAGTAAGTAATTCAGTCCATTCTGCATCTGTGTGAGATGAACCCTGGTGTTTGCAAACCTCACTACTTTGCGGTTTGGCAGTGCCTCTTACCTGCCTATGGAAAATTCTGGTCTGTCTGTCTTAGAAGAATGGCTCTTGGTCTATTGGAGCCACCTCATTAAGACCAGATGAGCACTGTGCAGTCCTCATTCCTCCTGAGAGTATAGATGGTGGAAGTTTGGTGTCTTTATGGCTATCTAAACAGCATTTGGGGTGCTGAGAGATGCAGGTCTGGGTGACATTTGTGTGTGATACTCTGATGCGGTGGCACTCAGCTGCGCTGCAGCAGCATCTCTCTCAGCCCCTTTCAGCGGTTCCCACGCTTCTCATCAGGAAGCAGGTCACTGCCCAGTTATAGTGGCCATTCGCTTCGCCTGGGCAGGCCGCAGTGTTTTTTCCTATGCATGATACCCAGGTTGAAAAGGTTTCTTCCTAAGAGATTGCGAATTAAAATGACCCCACTCTTTGAAGTGCACGTGTACAGATGGCTTAAGGCTGAGAGCACTGATGCATGGAGGCTCAGAAGCAGGGCGTTGGGGCAGAGGTCTCCTGCCCTGGGAGGAAGCACCTTTTGAGCCTCTCTCCCAGTATGTACAGGCTCACAGAGAAGGGGTGCATGCGTGCACAGGCACAACATAGGTGCATCTAAGATGCCGATACGTGCACACACCAGCACACTGGTTTTACCAATTATATTCTGATTATTAAAATGATCAAGAAATAGGCATCAGAAAGGATGAGATAATAGAGGAATAAAAGTGTCAGTATTTTTTCCTCACATTTCAGCGGCTTGTTTTGCATGTGTCCTGCTCTGGGGACTCTGGTCTGGAGGATCCTAGAACTTGTGCTTTCTGGGGTGACAGTTGGTGAGAAGTCATTGGGTGGGAAATGAGTGACATTCTGTTGCAACCATTCTGAGCCTTTTGTGTATAGACCTTAGAACATCCTGGTAGCTGAAAATGTTGGATCACCAGGCCCTCCACGATGCTAATTCCAAAGTACATTTTCAGTTCTCATTTTATTTTGACTTCTCAGAGTGTTTGACATGACCTCCGCCTTTCTGAAATGTTTCCTTCCCTGAGGCAGCCACAACACAGAGACACAAAGCGTGAGCTCTCTCCCTTTCTTCCTTGGTTTTCCTTGCAGGTGCATCTCCTGCTGTCTGGCGTTGTTAGAACTCCCCATAATTTGGTCCTGGACTCTCTTCTCCTGTTGTCCTCTCTCCCTGGGCCAACTGATATATAGGCAAAGGGTCACAACTTCTTTCCTACAGCCCAGACCCCTGCTTGGAGCTAACACCGTTGGCTAGCAGTCAGTCTCTCCTTAGGTGTCTCACAGGCCCCTCAAACTTGCCATGTCCCAGACCAAACATGTGATCTCTTCCCTCTCCCCACAGCAAAATCAAAATCCAATCCTTTCTGGCATCCCCTTTCTCGGCCACTCAGTCAGTTATGTAGGCCAGGAAGCAGGGAATCTCCTCGGAGACCCTGCTCTTACTCACCCCTGTATCCAAACCACGAGTTCCAGTGATTGTTGCCTTTGACTTGTACCTTTGGATCTGCCTCCTCCTTCCCTCTGTACCCCCACCTCCCTCGTCCAAGCTACCGCCGCGTCCCTTCTGGTCTCCCACTTCTACTCTTGTTAACCACAAACCATTCCTTTTAAAAGTCACCTTTTCGAATTGCTGATCTGATCATGTCAGCCTTTTGCTTAAAATCCTTCTGTGTTTACTCTCTGCCTCTGGCCGAGTTACATGGGCTTTATCCTACCAGGTTCTCATGGTCTGACCCCTGCTGACCTTTCCAGCTTCCTCTCACAATATATTCCCCCTCATTCCCTGCTCTCCAGCCGTGTTGTCCTTCTATGGCTTTCTCCCTGCCATAGGGCCTTTGCAGATGCTTTTCCTACTGGGTCTTCGTGCCTTCACCCGTTTCCCACACCCCAGTTCTCTCCTAACGAGGATCCGCCCAGACTGCTTCCACGGGGAGTGCCCTCTTGGCTCTCTAGACAAGGTCAGTGCCTCCATTTCATGCTCTCACGGCACCATGTAGCTCTCCTTTGCACTTTGTGTGGCTGTCAATTTTCGATATTACATGTTTGTCTGTCTGCCCTTCTGAGATGCTGAACTGAGAGCAGGTTCTTGTGCTTGGTGCTGTCTCACTGCAACTGCAGCAGCTGGTACGTAGCAGGGTGCGATGAAGAATTGTTGAAGGCTGGTTGCAGCTGGTGCCAGTTAGACCTCTCAGGCACATTCTTCCCCTTGCCAGCTGGCACACACGCTCTTGTCCATTGCTCTCATCAGTTCCAGATGCCCTCACCCCAGGTGACCCGTCAATAACAGCTGTACCTCCTCTTCCACCTCAGGGCCTACCAGGAAATAGCAGGTAGTCTGATTTCACATATAATCCTTTTGGGTCAAAAGGTAGGCAGTTGGTTGTCAGAGTGGAGGAGTTGCTTTGTCTTCTTATTTGAGCCCTTCGAATAGCCATTGTTGGTTTGCAGACCCCACCTTTCTGAGCGTTTCCTCTAGACCAGCCTTCTCCATAGCCTTGCTGTCTCAGAGGACCCCCTCCCTTGCACCCCTCTCGAGAGGAGGACTTTTCCTCATCATCTCCCAAGTACCTCAGGGCTGCCGGTGGGGTTGGTGTCTTCTTGCTCCTCCTCATTCTTGCTTCCAACCATTTCCCCAGTTCCTTTGAGGCTCACACCATGTGGCTTTATCACCCTTTACCCTCCCCACAGCTGCTGTCCATTGGTGAAGATTTCAGTACACAGCCTGCTTCCTGCCATCGGTTCTCTGGCCTTGTATCTTAACCTCCTCATCCCCTAACAGTCTTTTCCCTCCATTCCTTCTCCATCATCTACTCATGGATGTTCCTCAGAGCTTTTCACCAGAAATTGCACCCCCTCTGACGTGCATGTCTCAACAGTCCTCCACCTGCTGACCTCACAGCTCACTTTGATACCCCTGTAGCCATGGCTCTGTGACCGCTGTCGAGACCTGCAGTGCAGACACCACCACCTTCCCACCCTCTATCCGCCTTCCGTCTCCTGCCTGCCTTGCCCAGCTGAGGACTCACGCTCTGCCATGTGAGCCTTTCCTCCACATTCTTAGCTGCATTTCTCCACTCGCTCTCTGTTGTGCCCTTCCCCCGAAACCCCGCGCTGCCGAGCCCAGCAGCTTCCTGCCTTCTCTGTGCTGCGCCCAGCACTGAGCACTGTGCCAGAGGAACTGTACCGTTAGGCAGAGCAGCTTTATTTTACGGTGTGCTGCCGAGCCTTAGGTGGGCACACAAGCCGGAAGCCTGCCGGCTTTCTCCAGCAGGTTTGCCTCCTGATGCGAGAGGTCTGTTTCAGGCCTCTCTTCTCCCATCATGCCTTGCCTGTGCCCATGCTGTGGGCTGCATAACCTGAGCCCTCGGCCGCTTCTTTCCTCATCCCTCCTCGTCTTTGCATTGTGAGCCTTCTGCTGCGTCTGCACCCATCTTCGCCGAGGGCCGTCCTTGCCTGTGTTCCACACTCCAGCTCTTCTCTCATCTGCTTTCGGGCCTCACTTGGTTTTTGTTTTGTTTTGTTTTGATTTTTTTGAGAGAGTCTCACTGTGTTTCCCGGGCTAGAGTGCCATGGCGTCAGCCTAGCTCACAGCAACCTCAAACTCCTGGACGCAAGCGATCCTCCTGCCTCAGCCTCCCAAGTAGCTGGGACTACAGGCACGCACCACCGTGCCTGACTAATTTTTTTCTATATTTTTTAGTTGACCAGCTAATTTCTTTCTATTTTTTAATAGAGACCGGGTCTCACTCTTACTCAGGCTGGTCTCAAACTCCTGAGCTCAAACGATCTGCCCGCCTCGGCCTCCCAGAGTGCTAGGATTACAGGCGTGCGCCACTGTACCCGGCCTGGGCCTCACTTGTTGACTTGTGCCTGCCTTCTCGCCTTCCTGACTGACTGCGCCTTCTCAGCCTCAAGCGGGCTCCATCTTCTCTCTGCTCACTGACTGGTGCCCTCCTTGGCTGCCCCATCCCTGCTCCCTTTCCTGGCAAGGTTTCTTGAGACAGTGTCTACTGTTTCTGCTTTCTCACTTCCCAATCTCTTTTCTAGAGAAAGTTTTGGAAGTATAGGAAAGTACAAAGAATAATGCAATAAACACCTTTATTCCCACTATACAGAATTGGTAACTTAATTTTATCATATTGCTTGATTCCAATCTTTTTTATATGAATTTATTTTGATCTTTTTAGTTCAAACTAATTTTAGACTTACAGAAAAAAATACAAAAATAGTACAGAACATTCCTGCACACCCCGTACCCAGCTTCCCTAGTGTCGTGTAACCTGTCTTCCATAACCACAGCACAGTGATCAAAAGCAGGACATTAACACAGGTCCAATAATAGGAGCTAAACTACACACCTTATTTGAATTTTACACAAGTTTTTCCACTAATGTTTTCTTTTGTTCTATCCCAGAATTTTGCCAGGATGTCAACATTGCATTTGGCTCTTTTTCCCTAGTCCTTTTCCACCTGTAACAGTTCTTTTTGTTATTTATAATCTTGACACTTGTGAAGAGTACTGATCAGTTATTTTGGAGATTGTCTCCTCAAGTTCGGTTTGCCTAATGCTTTCTCATGATTGGAATGATGTTATGCATTTTTGGCTAGAATACCATGGAAATGCTGTTATGTCTTCTCAGGAGGCTCATATTATCATTATTCTTATTACTAGATTGTAATTTTTTAGTTTTTTTTTAGTTTTTTTTTGAGACAGAGTCTCACTTTGTTGCCCGGACTAGAGTGAGTGCCGTGGCGTCAGCCTAGCTCGCAGCAACCTCAAACTCCTGGGCTCAAGCGATCCTTCTGCCTCAGCCTCCCAAGTAGCTGGGACTACAGGCATGCACCACCATGCCCGGCTAATTTTTTTGTATATATATATATATATATTTTTAGTTGTCCAGTTCATTTCTTTCTATTTTTTAGTAGAGACAGGGTCTCGCTCTTGCTCAGGCTGGTCTCGAACTCCTGACCTTGAGCGATCCACCAGCCTCGGCCTCCCAGAGTGCTAGAATTATTATAGGCGTGAGCCACCGTGCCCAGCCGGATTTTAATTTTTTAAATAAATGAAACTTTATAAAGTGAAAAGTCAAACTACTTCTGTTCTCACCTAGTTCTCTCCCCTTCTTTTTTTTTTTTTTTTTGAGACAGAGTCTCACTCTGTCACCTGGGCTAGAGTGCAGTGGCGTTATCATAGCTCACAGCAACCTCAAACTCCTGGGCTCAAGCGATCCTCCTGCCTCAGCCTCCTGAGTAGCTGAGACTACAGGCATGCCGTGACGCCTGGCTAATTTTTCTTTTTTTTTGTAGTGATGGGGTTTTGCTCTTGTACAGGCTGGTCTCAAATTCCTGACCTTGAGTGATCCTCCTGCCTCGCCTCTCAGAGTGTTAGGATTACGGGCGTGAGCCACTGCGCCTGGCCTTGTTTTTGTTTTTGTCACCAACAGTTTCCACGTTGCCATATCCAGAGGCCACTTCTGTTTGACCCTCAGCAGTGTCCGACGTGGAATGCCCTTCTCCTGATGCCAGGCGTCTTCCCCCCACCTTGCCTCCTGCTCTCTCTTCTTGTTGCCCAAATTTAAATCAGTTTTTCAAATGGTGGCTTGCCAACCTCTAATGGGGCATGAAATGTTAGCATTTTTGTTGCTTTTTAAAATGAAATAGAGAAGTAAATATTAGAAAACGTCACCCAGTTGTGAGGGTAAGTATTGCTATGTATAATGTTTGTCTTAGAGGTGTGTATGTTAGATTGCTGTGTGAGATGCCTTTCTTAACTGTGGTGACAGTCAGTTTGGAAGCCACTGCTCTACATGTTGGGACTCCTCAGGCCCTGTGCTGGTTCCTCTGTCCCTCGGGGATCACACCCAGTTGATGAGTTTTACACGTCACCAACATGTTGAGAACTTCTGAATATATTTGGCCCAGACCTTTCTGCACGCTCCAGCCCACCCAGCAGTCTCACCCACTTGTCCAGGGTGATTTTGTTCCCTGGCTTTTCCTGATTACCCTGTTCCAGTGGGACTGGCCCCTCCTAGTTCCTTGAATGCACCGTCTTATTCCTTCCTCAGGGCCTGGTGTTCCCGGGGGGCTGTTAAGGCTCCTTCCAACCCCCCAGGTCTCAGGTCAGTTCAGTGTTGCTTCCTCAGAAATAGCCACCCTGTCACACTGTCACATCAGTCACCCTCTCTGTCCTTCGTGGCTGTAGCCCAGTCTGCAGCTGCGTGTGCTCTTTTATTGTCTACTTCTCTCTCTCTCTCTCAGGTGTGAGCCACACGTGGGCAGGGGTGTTACATGCCTCATTCTCTGTTTCCCTGGTGCTTAACACAGTGCCGGGTGCATAGTTGACATTCATAAGTGTTTTCATTCATAAGTGAATGAATGAAAATCTTTACCTCTGAAGCGGAAGTAAATAGTTTCAAGTTTAGGTATGGATCTTTTCTGAAAAAGTAGGACCAGTTTTCCCTCAACTGTCACCAGCTATGGTTCCATGGCCTGTGGCTGGACCAGGGCGTGGTGGGAGTTGGACTGAGCCACATCTGTCCTGCTCATTACTATGCTTATTTTCTTTAAGTAGCAAGTGGGAAGGTGTTTAGAGACTTAGTGATTACAAGAAGACCACCAGCAGTGGCTGCGCTCCACGATTACCTGCCATCCTTCTTAACCAGTCCATTGTGCCTTGGTGTTCTCTCTCATGTTCTACCCTCCACATGCCCTCCCCTCTTTCTTCCTACTTTGAATGAATGTTGAACTGCAGTGTTATGTAAGAACAAAGATTCTTTTTGTTTACATTGTTCAGAACAATGCTAAAGAGAAATGGAAAGTTCTTAAGGCTCTTTCCATCTTGTCTGTACCATTTCTGGGAATGGGTTGACTCAGCTCTGGCTAGTGTACCAGTGCCAGATGTAAATAGAGTCAGCTCCAAGAATCCTTTGTTCCAAGTGGACATGGTGTACAAAATGCTGAACTTCCCAAAGTAATAACGTGGGGTTTAAATCTATGCATAAAAATTGAAGTTCATGACCTGCCTGGGCAACATAACGAGACTTTGTCTCTGTAACAAATAAAAAAAAAAAACCATCCGGGCATGATGGCATACACCTGTAGTCCCAGCTACTCAGGAGACTGGGGTGGGAGGATCACTTGAGCCCAGGGGTTTGGGGTTATAAGTGAGCTATGATCATGCTACTGCACTCCAGCCCAGGCAACAGAGCAAGACCCTATCTCAAAAGGAAAAAAAAAAAATTTGAGATTTTAAACTTAAAAGGATATTTAGGATTGGACATATATATGTCTTCTTTTTGTTGTTGTTGTTATTTTTAGAAAGGGGGTCTCATTCTGTCACCCAGGCTAGAGTGTAGTGATCATAGCTCACGGCAGCCTCAAACTCCTGGGCTGAAGTGATCTACCTCCCTCAGCCTCCTGAGTAGCTTGGGACCACAGGTGCACACCGCCACACTGGGCTATTTTTTAAAAAAATTTTTTTGTGGAGATGGGGTCTTGCCGTGTTGCCCAGGCTGGTCTCAAACTCTTGGCTTCAAGTGACCCTCCCACCACGGCCTCCCAGAGTGTTAGGATTACTGGCATGAGCAGCAGCCCCCAGCATATATGTGTTTTATGCAGTACCAACCTCGATGCTCTTCAGCTTAGTCATTCCACAGTGCTGAAAGTTGGAAAGTGGGAAAGTTGAAAAACAAATTTTAATTCTGACAAAATTCTGGATACCTAGACATTTTGGGTATCCTCATCCTGCTCTTTGAGAAGTGAGTTAGAATTCTTTGGGAGATTGTACAGATGGCAAAGGGCGGTGAAGAGCCACAAACGGCAGATTACCTGGCCTAGGAGCTGAGTCGAGCACCCTCTTCTTCAACACTACCCCGCTTCTGTTTGCTTTTGCACTGTACACAATGTGGGAGACACCACAGTCTCTGGAGCTCCAGGGCATACTGCTCCCTGCGTAGCAGTGGAGCGTGTATCCACGTAGTGACTTGGAGGGCGCTTTGCAGACCTTTGGGTACACTCCTGGAGAGTTTCTCTCACACTGAGATTTTAGGTAAAATGAGGCCAGCAGTGACTGTACCTCCTGGATCGGTTTACTGTAAAGATTAAGTAAGTGATTGAAAACCTTTCCCAATAAATAGAGATATTAGGTATTTGTTGTCAATCTCTAAGGGTTTAAGAAATAAAACTTTCTGGTTATCCTGCTCTAAAATCAATTAACTACCAGCCTGGGCAACATACTGAGACCCTATCTCTACAAGCAATTAAGAAATTAACCAGGCACGGTGAGGCTTGCCTATAGTCCCAGCTACTTGGGAGGATGAGGCAGAAGGATCACTTGAGCCCAGGAGTTCCAGCCTGCAGCGAGCTATGATTGGGCCACTGTACTCTAGCCAGGGTGACGGATTGAGACCCTGTCTCTAAATAAATAAATAAAAATAAAAATCCCTTAGCTTGGTAGATTAATGCTATACTGTATTGTCACACAAAACTTCAAATTGGGAAATATTAAGTTTCACAATATAATGGTTAGACCATAATTGTGGAGATTATACAAGATGGTGGTTGGACCATAATCGTGGAGAATTACCAACAAATCCGTTTGCCCCCACAAAATGTAAAAGTGACTGACTGATTTTTTCCTTTAATGTGGTTTATATCCTTTGGAAGTAGCTTTTTTTCTTTTTACTAACTCCAATATTATGTCCTTGCCTAATGGGTTGTCCTCTTTGTTTCTTAGTGCCTCTTTTGTAAGGCGAGTGTGTTTTAAACAGCGTTTCTCTGGGGTCATGTTCCCACAACACGTTTCCTCACAGGGGTGAATTACAATCCTCTGGAAACTGGTACACACCTGTGGGCCCCTCTCCTTAGATACTTCCACTTAGATGCTCAGGCTTAGGACCTAGGAGTCTCCATTTGTAAAAGCTCTTTAAGAGATTCACGTGCACCTCTAGTTGAGAATGGCTCCTTTCCACTCCACCACCCCAGCAGATGGACACTCTTAAGCTGTCATTTGCTGTTTAAGAGGAAGAGGCTAAGGAATGAATTTGAATTGAGACCAAAGGATAGATTTTTGAAGGCAAAATGATTATAGATCCCACATTAGTTATTAGGACTGAAGATTGAACATACGAGCATTACAGAGATTGGACAAGAAGAGACATTAAACTACAGAGGAAAAGGTTGGGCGTATAAGCCGAAGATAGAAACCTGGAATGCTCCACGCTAGGGTTCTCTTTGGACCAAAAAACCATAGATCCTGGACCGAAATCAGTAATTCTCCAGCTTTTTGGATCCACAGACCAAGTTAGTAAGCAGAGGCCCTGTGCACCCTTTGCTTTTCACCAGACGCTCTTGACCAGAAGCAAATCAGCTCTCACCGGAAAGGATGGTATTATGTGGCCTTTGGTAAGACCCATGGGTGAGACTCATGTATAGGTTGTAAAATCAACAGAAGCAGTAAAAGCGCTGATGGATATTGTTCACTCCCATTGTCCCAGTGACCTAAATTTTTACTTGAATTTTAGATCTCGTCAATATAGTATAATGCTTACAAGCATGGATCCTGAAAATCACAAGATCTGTGACTGTGGAACCTCTCTGTCTTCTGTTTTAAATGGGGATGATAATAATAATACCCACATCAAAGAACAGTTGTGACGATTGAACTGTTCCTATGAAAGCACTTCTGATGCCTGGCACATAGCAAACACTCAGTAAACACCTATTTGTCGCCATCTGTTGTAGGGGGCTGAGGCCATGGTTCTGGAGAGCGTTATGTTTGCCATTCTTGCAGAGAGGTCACTTGGGCCAAAACTCTATGGCATCTTTCCCCAAGGCCGACTGGAGCAGTTCATTCCGGTAAGATTTGTTCATAGATGCACAGTTGACACGTGCCACAGACAGAAGACGGCTTCTTTGTGTCATTGCTACAAGAACCTGAAATGCTGAGGTTTGAATGTTAAATGTGACCTATGTCATTAGACTGTATCAGAAATCAAGACCTCTTTCTTTCCTATAAAGATATATTCGTCCAAATTTAAAATATAAATCAAACTTACTATTCTATTTTCCCCTCAGGCTGCTTACCCTGCACCTTTCCCCTTTACACCTTGTTCCTCTCAATTTCTGGGGCCCTTCTTTGTACAACTCACTGCTAGAACACCTTGGCCCTGACCATACCCTGCCACATAACTGGCCATGGCCCCATGGGGCCATTGCTGTTCTTTTTTCTCGTCTCCCAGTACGTCCCTGAGTGGTTCGTGTTCTCCCACTGTTCGGAGTCTCCCATCTGCCCTGCCCGTATTTGCTGGTCAGATTCCCCTTAGAACTTCCAGGCAGCCAGAATTGTGTTACCTTCTTGTTCTGAGGCATTTTTTTTTTTTTGAGACAGAGTCTCGCTTTGTTGCCCGGGCTAGAGTGAGTGCCGTGGCGTCAGCCTAGCTCACAGCAACCTCAAACTCCGGGGTTTAAGCAATCCTTCTGCCTCAGCCTCCCAAGTAGCTGGGACTACAGGCATGCGCCACCATGCCCGGCTAATTTTTTCTATATATATATATTTTTAGTTGTCCAGATCATTTCTTTCTATTTTTAGTAGTTTTAGTAGAGACGGGGTCTCGCTCTTGCTCAGGCTGGTTTCGAACTCCTGAGCTCAAACAATCCGCCCACCTCGGCCTCCCAGAGTGCTAGGATTACAGGCGCGAGCCACCGCTCCCGGCCCTCCTGAGGCATTTTTAATGCTGCCGTAACATTTACCAGTGTGCCGTGTCTTAGGGACATGTGTGCACATCTAAAACAGCTCTGAGTCCTATCCGTACACGCACACCATGCTCTGCGTGATGCTTCACGCAGCAAGAGCCTCGTCAACTGTGACTGAAAGGGTGACCATGGGCCCTTGGAACTATCAGGTTTTGTTGGCCTTGCTGATCCTTATTGGTCTGCATTCCCCCTCCTGGCTAGTTTTGGAGATTGGATAGAAGATTCCACATCTTAACTGAGTGTAAGCTTCTTGAGGAGTAGGATCACAGGGGGCTGTATTCTCCTGCCCTGCTGCACAGCATGCAGACGGGGCCCAGAACAAGGGCACCTGACTGAGGGGTGCCCTGCTGCCTCTAGCTGGGGGCAGAGGTGCTCTGCTGGGGGCTGGGTGCTCTGCTGCCTCTAGCTGGAGAAAGAGACTCCTTTGTCTGATCCCACAGCCCAGAAACAGGGGGCCTTTTTGTGATCTGCCTCCCCAGAAGGGATATCTTCTTTGAGTTGACACATGGCATCAGTGCTGGCTGCCAACCCTGAGGGATGTATTTAGGCGAATGGACAGTGCCTTCACCAGGCCAGCTTGTACCTTTTCCCTGGCACCTGGCTATGTTTTTATTTATAATTTCCCCAATAAAGGTAGTAACATTTATCAGGCATGAGAATCAAATGAGATAATAAAGTATCTACCAACCTCAAGGGAAAGTTTAGTACCCATACCATGGGGTGGTCATGCCAGACAGTAGCAAGGTGTGTTTGCTGACATAGACAGATGTCCCCAACATTTCGTAAAACCAGGCTGCAGAACGTCATCCATCATATGAGCCTGAAACAACATGCCCATCATGATTAGTAATATTTGAAAGAATTTTGTAAATATAAAACACTTCATATGGTTATGAGTAGCAATATGGATGAATCTTAAGAGTATAATGTTGAGTGATAAAACAAACTTGTAAGAGACTATGAGTCATATCATAGCATTTTTATAAAGCCTGATAAAAGCAAATTTAAAAATTGTTTATGAATAAGTGCATGTGTGGTAAAAGTTCTCTTTTTAGAAAGGGTAAGGGAATTGTTAACACAATTCAGAATAGTGGTAATGTCTTAGGGACAAAAGGGGCAGTGATCAGGACACATAGGTTATGGCATCTTTGGAATTGATTTTGTTCTAGTTCTTTAGTTCTGTCTATGCTTTTTTGTATGTATTTATATTGTTTACTATATAGTGAAGATTTTTTAAAAATTCTATTAAATACTAGGTTTGAACCATATGATATTGCCAATATTCAACTGTTTTTGACCCACAAAAATGCCAATTTCATTTGATTCAAGCTAATACTATATGTTATTTCTAGGTTTACTTTTTTTTTTTTTTTTTTTTTTAAGAGATGAGTCTCCCTCTGTTGCCGGGCTAGAGTGCAGCATCGCGATCACAGCTCACTGCAGCCTTGAACTCCTGGGCTCAAGTGATCCTCCTGCCTCAGCTTCTCGAGTACCTGGGACTACAGGCATGCACCGCCACACCTGGCTAATTTTCAAAGTTTTTTTAGAGACAGAGTCTCAGTATGTTGCCCGGGCTGGTCTCAAACTCCTGGCCTCAAGCAAACCTCCCACCTCAGCATCTCGATTCAGTGGGATTACAGGCATGAGCTGGGTTTACACATTGCCACTGCACGGGATGAGATGCATTCCCTCTCGCCTGATTTCTGTAGCCTTCTTTCAAAGGGCATGTGAGAGTAGTGACACCTGAGAATGGTAGATGGTCTCTATTTCTCTTTTTTTGTGCTGGGGAAAGAACTTGGAATATTGAGGTTTGTTTGTCTTTGAGCACGTTAGCTTTAAGTTGTCCATGTTACCAAAGAGATTACTGGCATTTTTGAAAATTGAGTGAGTGAGCTGCCTTAAGAAGTCCTATGTGTCCTGCCACTGGAAGCTGACTTCCTGATAATTTGTTGAGAATGTTGGAGAGGATTCCAGAGTTGAGTAGAAGATGGAAGAACTGTTAGTTCTGATTCTAAGGCATCTGCCCTCTCTTGAGACTTACCCTGGGCCTCACATGCATTGTGTCCTGTAGCAGCTCTAGGAGAGACTTAATGTCACAGTTCCCATTCTATAGAATCGGGAAAACGAGGCACAGAGGTATGGTGTAACTCGCCTGTGGTCAAGTAGCTTTGAAATGAGTTTTAAAGCCAGAATTCGATCTGGGGTTTCTCTAACTTGGGAGCATCCATTCTTAACCCCTGTGTGTACTGCTTTACATTTTCAGAGAAATGTCTCTTCAGGTTCATGTGAAGAAGCTATAGAGGCCTCAGGCAATCAGAAGCTCCCACGGACATCCCATAAAGGGCAGCCTAGGCAAGCATGGCCTGAGGCGGCATGAGGGCGAGTGCAGGCTCCTGGGAAAAAGTCCTCCTTGATTCTGTTTCTTTGTTCAGCTTTGCCCTCAGACACCTGCTCTGTGCCAGGCCAGGGGCTAACACCACCACTGGGAGCTGGAGGTGATTCCTCCTGAATTCATGGTTAGAGCCTGTTCTGAGCACCGCCCCTTCCCCGCAACACGTGAGAGTAGAATGTCCCAGCTGGGTCCTGTGATAAACTGCTGGAGCCGTGGACTTTCAGTGTTAGCTAAGAACGAACAGACTTATTCTGTGTGGGTTTTGAGGGCAGAATCACAGGAAATTGTACTTTCCTAGAATCTTAGGAAAGTAAATTAAAAATTCAATAAGATCTAAGGAAGAACTTTCTCACAAAAAGGGTTCAAAATGAAGTAGATCTTTGGAGGTAGCCTGCTCCTCGCTGTAGAAGTGCCATAGCAATTGCTGGGTCACCATCTGTGGGGACACAGTGTTCATTCTTAAGGGAATTTTGTGCATTGGGTGAGACTTAAATGCACTATAAAAACTAGCTTCTGATTCCTAAAATTCTGTAATCTCACACTTTTTAGGTCACCTGGATAAATGTCGGTTTTTAATTCCCTTTTTTATTTCAGAGCCGGCGATTAGATACTGAAGAACTAAGTTTGCCAGATATTTCTGCAGAAATAGCTGAGAAAATGGCGACATTTCATGGTATGAAAATGCCATTCAATAAGGAACCAAAATGGCTTTTTGGCACAATGGAAAAGTAAGTGGTCAAATCACTTGGTCCTAACTTAGTTTTACATTAGTGGCTTCCAGGAATACCAGTAGTGAGAATTTGTTTGCTACGATAGTCAGAGGTTTTCCTTTATTTCCTGATGTGCAGGCTGTCAGTTGGTGGTGTTTGTCTCATGCATAAGTCTTTTTTGCATGTAAAAGTCAATTCCTGAGCCAAGGAAGACTTGTTTACAAAAATGCTGCTGTACAGGTTGATAGGCCGAAAATCGGCTTCCTGGAATGCCGCGACTCTCCAAGCCCTGCTTTTCTCCTCAGTTGTGGTGGTCAGAGGGGTTCCCACCGCTACTGTGGCTGTGTTGGTATTGAACTTGAATATTTAAGCCAGCCAGAGCCCCAAGAGCAAGGCTTGGTGAGTTGAACAATGATTCTTTGTTGTCTCTCTCTCTCTTCAACAGATACCTAAATCAGGTGCTGAGAATTAAATTTACTGGGGAATCCAAAATTAAACAGCTCCACAAATTCCTTAGTTACAATCTGCCTTTGGAACTGGAAAACCTGAGGTGAGTATTTGCTTCTATTTCCTGACTTAGTAAGTACATCTGTCCAGAAATTTAAATATTCCTAGTCACTAAAGCTGTTGCCAGTAAACATTGATTAAGCTTGCCTTTATGTCTGGCATTTTGTATTGGTTTTGCAGGCTGAATTTGAACAGATGAGTTTTGTCATTTGGAATTAGAGTTTTCTGTGAATGCTGTCACTTCGCCTCTAGTTAGTATGTGAAGGTTTCATGGAGGAAGGAAGATGTCAGAGGAGTGGTCTGGGGACTAGGTCAGTAGGAGACCTAGGGCAGTCGGTTTTTTGGGGGAGGGGCAGTGGGAGCCGGCTAGGGAGTGTAAGGGGGTGAGGGAAACAGTTAAACCATCTCTTTGGAGGGAAACAGGAAGAATCTTGATCCTGATCTCTGAGTCGGGGCCACCGTGGTGTCCTCAGGGTGAGACTGGGTACAGGCTACTTGCATACCTCCCCTGACAAGTATTTACACCTTTAATTTCTGAAATATTTGAGTATCTCCTGTGCTGGGCATTATGATTGGTGCTGAGGAAATGGTGACTAAGACATTTTTCAAGGAGCTTCTATTTTTTTCATTACCTTTTTAAAAATATTAAAAAAAATTTTGATTGTGGGTATGTAATAGTTGTATTAAATATATCTTTATAGGGTACATGTGATGTTTTGATAAAGACATACAATGTGAGTTAATCAAATTAGGGTAATTGAATTATCTGTCACCTTAGGCATTTAACATTTCTTTGTGTTAGGAACATTCCAGTTCCAGTCTTACTTATTTTTAAGTATACCCCAACTTATTGCTGATTATAGTCACTTTGTAGTGCTATCAAATATTATTCATTCTAACTATATTTTTACACCCATTAACCATCCCCACTTTATCCCCCACTCCTGGCTACCCTTCCCAGCCTCTAGTACCCATCATTCTACTCTCTGTTGCCATGAGATCAATTGTTTTTAATATTTAAGGAGCTTTTATTTTATTAGGAAGACAGAAAACTAGTAAACAAATACAATAATGTCAAATTATAATAAATGCTATGACAGAGACACAGACCAAAGTAGCCCAACACAGAGGGATCTGCTTCGGGTCATTGGTCAGAGGAGGGACTACACAAGCCAGGGCCAGCAGAACGAGGACTAGCTGCTAGGAGGGGTGTGCTCGGAGAGGAACAGCATGTGCAAAGGCCCGGCAGTGGGAAGGCGCTGGAGTGCTGAGGAGCCCGTGGGGATCGCTGCTGGCATCTGCAGTAGAGCTACATAATGACAGTTTTCAGAATTTGCATGACAGATATCACACAGGGACCATGTGTTGCTTTGGAGCTCTAACGCTGTGCTGACCATGCTGAGAGAGCAGACTGCTTGCATCTTACTGAAAGCTTGACAGGTAACAGTGAGACCTTCGTTTTTCAGATCACTGCTTGAATCTACTCCATCTCCAGTTGTATTTTGTCATAATGACTGTCAAGAAGGTAAGAATTGCTATGTTACGCTAAAGATGGGGTTCATGTGTATACTTAGATTACCTCCAGTGTGTATGATAAATGCCAGATGTCCATCAAGAGAGTATTAGATACATTAAATTATGATATAGCCAATGAAGTATTGTATAAATACAAAGGAAAAATTTTGTAATGAATATTTTGTAAATAAGGGTACATTAAGCTACAATTTCCCATTTTCCCTATGTATGGTGACTTTTGGGACACCCTGTATTAAAAAGAATGATAGTTTTATATATATCAATAGAAAAATCTCTAGATATATTGAAGAGAAAAAAAGCAAGTTTTAGAAAAGCGTGTAGAGTATCATTCTGTTTTTGTAAAAAAAAGTATTCACATAGAAAAGATCTGGGCCAGGTGCGGTGACGCGTACCTGTAGTCGCAGCTACTCAGGAGGCTGAGGCGGGAGGATCGCTTGAGCCCAGGAGTTGGAGGCTGCAGATCGTGCCACTGCACTCCAGCCTGGGTGACAGGGTGAGATCCTGTCACTGAAGGAAAAAAAAAAAAATCTGAAAGAACATTCACTAAACTTGGGGATAAAGGACTTAAACTTTCTAAGTCCCATGTTATCTTTTCATTGTTTAGCTTTTTCTGGTTAATCTGAAAAGCAGTAAAGGAACAAGATCCCCCTCCCTTCCCCCAGTCCTGGCCCTTCCTTCTGCACCACGCAGCACAGTGACCTTTATTAAAGCCACCTCCTCTCAGTATCAGTGCACTCTCACTCTGCTAGTAATGACTTCAGATTTCTCTGCTTTAAAAAAAATGCCATATGTCCCTTACTCTAACAAAACCCCACCCAATGTGATTTCATACTCAACAGAGGTTCCTGTCTCATCGTGCATCTCCCCTGCTGCTACCAGCATGTCCTTGTCCTTCCTAGTCACAGGTGGCTGAGGTCCAGCCTCAAGCCCTTCTTTGCCAGGCTCAACAGTTTAATTCCAAGAACAGTCCCTGATGAAGACCTGTCATCATTAAGCCATTAGTTTGAGGCAAAATACCTGTTCTTTAATACTAATTAACTGATCATTGCTGGCTGTCTCAAGTCAAGCAGGGTGTAGAAATTTCAGCTGCAGCTGCGTGTGTTGTCCACGCCCTTGTGGGGTAAGGAGATAGTAAATGGCATAGACATCACCAGAGAGGGGGCTGGGAGAGGTCAGCTGCCTCAGTGATGGCAAAGTGTCGAAAGGATAGAGATAGGAATTGTACATTTATTTTGTTCTGCTACTTTGGGCTTCTGCCTTCATCTCTCCTTTTAATCACTACTTGAAACAGAACAAATATGTGAAGAGCCTACCCCTTACCAAAAACCCTGGAAGGGACAGTGGCCAAAAAACTTGCAAAGCTGCCTCACAGGTGCCAGCCCCACGATGCCTGAGGTGCTGGATGCTGTGCAGAGGGTGGGGACCTCAGGAACACGTGCCCGACTGGCCAGGCTGGCGGCCAACCCAGTCTGGCCCAGAATTCAGCTCTAAAGGAAATAGCATCATAGGATGCTGCCTGTGGTCTCCTTGGGAAGGAAAACCAAGCAAGGACAAAGCAGGGGGGCCCTGTGGCAGCTGAGCTCACAGCTGGCGTCCTCACTGGGGAGGATCCTCTGACAGAGCTTCCCAGCTGCTGTGCTGCAGCCAGCCTGCCTGCAGGCGACAAACCAAGTCCCAGGGCTGCTGGGGTGGCGGATCTGGTGTCTGGGCCAACCCAAGCTCCGGCGTGGCACCCTGCGAGACATTTGGGCAGTGTTGCCCCAGACAGTCAGTGAGAAGGACTGGGGCTGTGAACAGATGTTCTTGTGCTCAAGTAGATCTGGAGTCTCCCTGCCCGGGGCCAGGCCTCATGTGGCAGCACTGCTCCTGCGCTCTGGTGATGTCCGAGGGACCAAAAGCCGAGGTCAGTTAGAAGTCCCTGTAAGGTTAGAGCCCCTCTCTTGGCGCTGCTGTCCAAGGACGTGAGCTGTCTATTGTAAAATATAAGCCATGTATGTTATCCGACCTTTTTGCAGGTAATATCTTATTGCTGGAAGGCCAAGAGAATTCTGAAAAACAGAAACTGATGCTCATTGACTTCGAATACAGCAGTTACAATTACAGGTATTGCGTTATAGTCAGATATTTTCATTTCAGTGTTGTTTTATTATTGTGTTATCTTTATGGAACAGTTATAGGAGATACTAAGTCAAAACTCCATTTTAAGTTGAAAGCTGCTTCACCTGGAAGCCGAGGCTCTTTGCCCGGTGGCCGTGGGTGAGGCAGCGGCACTGTCCCCCCTGCTCTCAGCCGACTGCCGGGTAGGAGCGACGATGTAATTAAACTCCAGAACCTGGCATTTCCTTTTGGCTTCAGAGATCATTTTCCTCTCATAAGGACTGGATGTTCTTGAGTAGTGGTTCAGGTGGTGCCTTCAGAGCTTCAGTCAGCGCGATTCTGATAATCACCAGATTGTGCTTTCTGTCATTAAAGCACTCACGCCCTTGTCTGCTATGCTTGTGACTCAGCCTTTTTTTCTTCTGTAGACAGGAAACCTCCAGACTAGCAGTCTGCTTCATTCTGTGCATGGTCTTATCTCTTATTTTAGGGGCTTCGACATTGGGAATCATTTCTGTGAATGGATGTATGATTATAACTATGAGAAGTACCCTTTTTTCAGAGCAAGCATGCGGAAGTATCCCACCAAGAAACAGCAGGTAGGAGATTCGTTTTTAAATACTTGAAAGGTGAATTACATAAGTCAGTTTTATGCAGTTAGAATTACATCTTCATTTTCAAAGATGCCTTTTTAAATTGTGGAATGGTTAGGCAAACCCTTTTGCTTATATTAAAAAATGTTATTTTTTTCTGTTAAATGTAGATGCAAACTTGACCTTTGAGTGCAACTTTTTAAAAATCTGTCCCAGAGGTATTTGTATTCTGTCAGAGGAAGAACACAGCCTCCTTTATAGTTCTTTCTAGTGTTTTCAAAAAGCCCAGCCTCAGTTCTGCTTTCTGGCCTTCTTTTTGGGGAACACTGACCTGCCTCTGTTCATTTCATGCTGTGCAGAGAAGTCATCTTTTGGGCACTATGGTTTAGTAGCTAGAGGAAATGCCTTTGGTGTTAATAGCTCTCCTTCCTGTCCTGAATTAGGGGAGGCCAGTGAGTGTGAGGAGAATCATTTCTCCTGGGAATTTCTTCCTGGGATCACCTCTTTTCCATTCTTCAATCCACTGCCAAAACCTTGGGTTGAGGATAAGTAGGTAGTGAGGCTGAAGCTAAGCAGGGCTGGGGGGAGTGTGCCAAGCCTGCCTCTCTGAGCATGTGTGCGGCACCAGCTCATCTGCTCGGTGACCCCCGTGTTGTGCACGTGCACCTCACGCAGAGGTCAAGGACGATGAGGACAGGAATGCATTTATCTGCTCCTGTAAGTCACTCAGCAAGTGTTTCTTGAGCACCTGCTCTGAGCCAGGCACTGTGACTGGGTCTTCAGTAGCGACCCTCACTCTAGGGGTAGCCATTCAGATGTAGACTTGCTGTGGGGGCCAGAAACTCAGTTTGTTTTCTTCTGGTCACAGGCTGATGTGATGACCTTGAATATGTCCAAAGCAGAGTGCCCAGGATGGCATGAAAAGGAAGGGCGGGAGAAGGGCTTGTTTAAGCTGGGGAAGAGAGAACACGTAGCAGCCTCTGGGTATTTGAATTGTTGTCTTGCTAAAGAGCAATTAGACTTTTAGAGACACCAGGAAGTGCTAGAGGTCAGAATTCTCAAACTAGTAAGGGGGAGATTTTCAGTAAGAAGATAGATTTCATTTTAATGATAGAGCTTTGTAACTGCTAAAACTGTACAGCAATGTAAATTTTTTATTTTTATTTTTTTGAGACAGGATCTCACTCTGTCACCCAGGCTGAAGTGCAGTGGCATGATCATAGCTCACTACAGCCTTGAACTCCTCCTGGGTTCAAGCGATCCTCCTGCCTCAGCCTCCCAAGTAGCTGGGACTACCAGGCATGCACTACTATGCCCAGCTACTTTTCTTTTTCCTTTTTATGGAGACAGGGTCTCGCTGTGTTGCCCAGGCTGGTCTCAAACTCCTGGCCTCAAGTGGTCTTTCCCCGACCTTGGCCTCCCAAAGTGCAGGGATTACAGGTGTGAGCCACTGCAACTGGCCTACCAATGTAAATTTAAGGAAGTTCCACTCTAGTTCTATTTTCTGAGAGGTTTTAAAGATAATATATAGGGTATTGATCTTTATCAGATAACCTTTCTGCATCTATTGAGGTAATCTCATGTTTTTTCTTTTTTTGCTCCATTAATGAAATATTTTTAAATGTTAAGCCATCCTGGAATTTCCATGATAAACTCCATTTGAAAGAGCTGTGTTGTTTTGTAATACTCTGTACTTATTATTTTGTAATACTTTGTAATACTCTGTGGGATCCAGTTAGGTAATATTTTAGGAGTTTTATATCCTCATGATGTGAAATGGATCTATAATGTTTATTTTTAAAATTATTCATACCTGCTTTTGGGAATTAACAATTATACTGTCTTATAAAAATGGATTGAGCAGCCTGCTCCCTCCTCATTTTTTGGTATAAATTTATTAAGGTGAGAGATATCTGTTCTTTGAAAGTTTGGTAGACCGTGCCTGTAAAACAGTCTGGGTCTAGAACTGTTTTTTAGAAGAGGGTCAGTAATTACCCTTTCATTAAAGTATTGATCTATTTGTGTTCTGTCTCTTCCTTTGCAAATTTTGGCATTTAGTATTTCCCAGAAATAAACCCATCTAGTGTGGTGGTTCAGACATGGGTTTTGAAAACTAATTTGACTTAGATTTGAAGTGCAGATCTGCTGCTGCCAGCTGTGTAACCTACACAATCTTAGTCTGTTTTGCATTGCTATAAAGGAATACCTGAAGCTGGGTATTTTATAAAGAAAAGGGGTTTATTTGGCTCAGAGTTCTGCAGGGTGTATAAGAAGCATGGTGCCAGCATCTGCTTCTGGTGAGGGCCTCAGGAAGTGTCTTCTCGTGGTGGAAGGCGAAAGGGAACCAGCGTGTCACATGGCGAGAGAAGGAGCAAGAGAGAGGAGAAGGAGGTGCCAGGCTCTTTTAAACAACCAGCTCTCGCAGGCACTAATGGAGCGAGAACTCACTCACTACCATGAAGAGGGCACCAAGCCATTCGTGAGGGATCTGTCCCTATGACCCAAACACCTTCCCCCAAGCACTACCTCCAACATAGGGGATCAGATTTCGACATGAGATTTGGAAGGGACAAATAGCCAAATCATATCACTAACTGAATGTATCTGTGCTTATTTCCTCATCTGCAAAAATTATTTTGTTGTGAGAATTAAATGAGTTGATGTGCAAAAAACGAATGTTCAGAATAGTGCCTGTTACCTAGAATTCAGTAGGTAGTAGCAATCAACTTTTCTATGTCAGGTTTACTTCAGAGTGTAAGGCCCCTTCTAAGACCCTTTGCCTAGGACAATGCTTGAACTTGAATGATGCCTTCTGGTGGTGGAAGTGGTATAGCATAAGAAAGCCAATTTTAGAGAAGGAAATGGAAGAGGAAGATACTGAGGAAGGTTGTAGAGGAAGAACTGTTGGCATTCCAACTAGTGACTGGTTAACCAGGCCCCTTATAAGGAAAAATAACAGGTGTTCTTTACAGAAGAAAGAAAGTGGTGCTGTACTGTGTTCTGTTGCCTTTGGATGTAGTATAAAATGTTCAAGAACAAGTAATCTACTAATTAATTCATATACAGAGTAAAAGTGGAGCCTGGTAGAACCTTAGGTATTAATAAATTATTTCTTCTCAAACCAAAATTAAACTTTGCCAATTTATTAACATGAGTGTGTAAATAATCATAGCATCTTAGAGTTGGAATGCACCTTCACATTGTCAAGTCCCCCTCCCATTTTGAGGGAACATCTACAATAAACATCAGGATACCTCAGAGCCTCATGCCTGGCACATCCATGGCAGCCCTGCGTGGAACCCCAGCCAGTTTGGGGAAAGGATGCAGGCGTACCCTGCTCTAAGATCAGACCGTGAAAAAACTGAGATGTGGATTTGGTTAGAAAAAACTACTCTGCCTAAATCACTTTTTCCAGAAGTACTAGCAGTTTCCTGGAATTGTCTTGTCAACCAATACAGCATCAAGTTCAGTAGAACTTCTGCCGTAAACTGGCCCCAGTGGAGAACATTAAATGATGATTACCGCTAGGGAAGATGAGCTTGCAGAATTCCTGCACCTGGACGTAGCAGCCATGGTGGGTGCTGCCAGGCTTTCGCTGAGATCACCCGAAGAGACACAGTAGATGTATGTGCTTCATGACAACTATGGATGTCATCTGTTTTTAACCCTCATTGATCCTAACACAGTTTACTTTTTTTTAAGCTCCATTTTATTTCCAGTTACTTGGCTGCATTCCAGAATGACTTTGAAAACCTCAGTAGTGAAGAAAAATCCATTATAAAAGAAGAAATGTTACTTGAAATCAATAGGTAATTTTTTCCTTCTTTGATTTGTAAAGATAGCTTACCTCTTTATAGAGCATATTTGGGATGCTTACTTGCAATTATGAGTATTGTAGGAGCCTCTTTATAATCATACATCTCTAGGACTTCTGCTTTGTTAAAAATAAAATCTGCTTCTTCTCCGTTACGGCTGAGACTGTTCACACATTTCAGATTCCAGTACACCACAGGCAAGAAGGAGAGGTCCCATGTGTAAGAAGGGAGGGTGCTTGGAGTTCTGAACTACAGACAGAGTGGCTCAGCTGTATGGGCTGCTGCCACCCAGGGCCTGCAGACTCTTGTCACTGATGCTCACGCAGTGGTGGGTACCATCTCACATGCCGGGACTCTTAAGTTTCTCCTAGAAAATGATTAAAACTCATGTATATTGGTTTTAAGTCTTGCTTTTTAACTGTTTTCTCAACAGCTCTCAAAGCAGGCCCCTGAAACTGCCAGATTCCACAAAGGTCTAGATCACTGTTTATTCATCTCTTTAGTCAAGAAGCCTGTGGGCTATTCCTATTCTTTGTGGTCTCCTATGACATTATTTATTTGGTAAAATTGACTGTTTAACTGACTTTTGCCCACCTCATCTTTCCGCCCACTTGGCACGAGTCATTTCTTTGTGGTCTTCAGAGTGCTCACACTCCCCACTGAGCATGCTGCCACCCCAGCCTGCCGCGTAGCTCCACGGCCAGCGTGGATCTGCCCTTTCTGCTTATTGAGTCAGCGGAAATAGAAAAATGGAGGTGGAGAGAACCCATACAGAAAGGGTAGCACGAGGGACTCTAGTGGGTCAGAGAACACAAGAAATCAGAAAGTAGGGTTTGGTGAGGATATTAAAGCAGGTGTTCCTGAATTAGAGCTTTATTTTCATGTGAATGAAGCCCCAAGGTATTGTTCAAGAAGGACTTGGATTCACAGTGACAGAGGGGCTTGGCACAGCCTAGAGATGGGGACGTGGCTCACGCTCTCATCTGCTCGCTTTCGCTCATGTGTGGGAGGAGGGGAAGGCCGAGTGTGGGATTCAAGGAGGTCTCTTGCTCAGGGAGTCAGAGCTTCAGCCCACCTCCTGGGTAAGGCCCGCCTCTTGGCTGCTGACGCTGTGCACTCACACCTGCAGCAAGGATCGTTCTTTCTCTGCCCGCACGGCCACCGAGGCCTTCGCCTGCATCCTGTGAATGTCGTTATGTGTGTCATGGCCAGGCAGTTGGAAGTTGACACTCGCAAGTCCACCTGTCACTGGCTAGAGGTGTGAAGGGGCAGGGAGTGGTATTCCTATCGTTCCTGGTCCCTGTAGAATGGAGTCCCATGGATTTGCCAATGCAAAGTTCACATCCACCCGAGATAAAATGAGTTAAAATGTCCATCTAGCATGAAGTTACTCTGTCGGTTCTCTAACTGATACTATATACATCTCATGTGTGTTTCTTTCTTTTGTAATTATAGGTTTGCCCTTGCGTCCCATTTCTTCTGGGGACTTTGGTCCATTGTACAGGCCAAGATTTCGTCCATTGAATTTGGGTATATGGTATGTTTTAGGGGTGTTTCTTACTTACTCCCTTACTTACAGGGAAAAATGCTATTGTGTATGTGAATGCTTGGCAGCAAATGACTGTTCCTTACAGAAGGTTACCTGTCCCCTCCAAGTACCCGAATATGGTGACTTGCTGGCACCAGGACAGTGTGGCTCATCTTAGGAAGCGATGCGAGGAGCCACGCTCACTGATGCTGCGCTTGCCTTTGAGAGTCGCCCTCACTCCCAGGGCCCGCAGGCCCTGCTTTCCTCCTTCAGAGAAGTGCTGGGTGGTCCCCTGGTCCTGGATGCCTCAGTCCCTTGTGACATAGGGACACTAAGTGAAGAAGCATGTATGGTACCTGGCCATGCTGTGAAGGGTTTTATTCATCGGTTACCACATCATTGTCCAGCCTGTGGTGCCCAACTTCGAGTTAGAAGCTAGTACTTACTGAATTAGACCTTCTGTTTTTTTGCAGACACATTTATAACCAAGCTAGGCTATCGTTTTATTCTAATGTTAACAACTTCCCTTGACATAAAACGACACTCTTTTTAACCTTCTGTTGCTCCGTAGTGAGTGTTGGTGTCTTGGAGTGGGGGTGGGGGGACAATACAAATGTCTGTGGTCTGGTGAGCTCCATTTCTGTGGGACAGGTAGTGGGGCCAGTTCGTTTTATCCTCCTCAGTCTACACTAGGGTGATTTCTCCTTACAGGCAGAAGGTTTGGTAATGCAAAGACACTATTAGGTAAAGAAAGAAGGGGACATTGGGTTTTTAAAGCAGATTTGGAGTCGTGGTCGAATGATACCAGAAGACAAAGTACATTTCATAACAAGGGGTGTTAACAGAGATAAAGAAGGGCAGTTTGTAATAGTAAAGGACATAATAACAGAGGATATAAGCAACCTCAGTGTGTATACACTTGTCTTGCTTCAAAAGAAATGAAACAAAAACTGACAACTGAAAGGAGAGAGAGGCAAATTTATAATTAAAGTCGGAGATTTTACCACTCCCCTGTGATGGATAAACAAGGAAACACACAAGCAGTAAGGAGGACAGAGGGTTTGAACAGCACTCCCAGCCTACCCAGCCCACCCGGCCTGACGGAACCCCTGCAGCTGCAGCGTTTGCGTTCTTTCCAAGTGAACATGGAACATTCATTGAGACAGACCACATACTGGGCCATAAGACAGATCTTGATGAATATTAAAATAATAAAGGATGTATTCTCTGTGGAATTTAATTGGAAATCAACAACAACAAAAAGATATCTAGAAAATCCCTGATGATTTGGAAATTAAGTAATGAATGCACTTCTAAATAAACACTTGGTCGGCTGGGCAGGTGACGCCTGTAATCCCAGCACTTAGGAAGGGCCAAGGCAGGGGGATCACTTGAGGCCAGGAGTGAGAGACCAGCCTCGGCAATATGGAGAGACCCTGTCTTTACAAAAATCGTTCAAACCCAGGATTTTGAGGTTACAGTGACTTATGATTGGGCCACTGCACTCCAGCCTGGGCAGCAAGGAGACCCTGTCTAAAATAAATAAATAACAAACCAACCAACCAACCAACCAACTTTGGGTCAAAGAAGAAATTGAAAATTAGAAAATATTTTGAACTGAATTATAATGAAAACACAACGTATCAGATTTTGTAGAACATAGGTAAAGCAGTATTTAGAAACTTACAGCTTTATAGCTTAAATGTTTATAATGGATAAGATAAGAAGAAAGCTTTCAAACCAGTGACCTAAGCTTCTCGCCTTAAAAAGCTAGGAAAGGCCAGGCGCGGTGGCTCACGCCTGTAATCCTAGCTCTCTGGGAGACTGAGGCAGGCGGATTGTTTGAGCTCAGGAGTTCGA